CTCCGATGGATCCAAACAGAAAATTGGTCAAATCCACGTATGAGTGCGAGCTCTACACCCTCTACAAGGTCTTGACACATTGGAGGCACTATCTCTTGGGCTATTCTGCATAGTGAGATCTGACCATGAGACCTCCGATGGATCAAAACGCAGCCAACTCTCTCAGATGCACTCAAGAGGTGGATTGAAGTCAATGGCCAATATGACTTCCGCCTCGAGCACTTGAAGAGGGAGTATAAATAGGTTGTGGATGCTCTATCACGTAAGGCAGATCGCTTGGGCGTGCTGATCATAGAGTTTGGGCTTTCTCACGATCTAACTCAACCTATGGTGGATGCCTACAAGGAAGACACACTAGTGACATACATCATGCGTAAGCTCGAGGCCAAAGACAAGGCCACTACTGACGAGTTTGTGATGGTAGACGGATTGCTGTTCCTTGAAAAACATGGTTGTAGGAATTTTAGTTTGTTTAGTTTTTTTTCTAGGCAAGTGTCATGATGCAGCCGGACGCTTTGGCTATAAGAAGACTTCTGCAAAGCTGGTTCAGAAATTTTGGTGACCCACTATGTTAGAGGATGCTAAGGGCTATGTAGAGACTTGCCAAGGACCCAAGCACCGCTAAGACTAATCAAGCCCTTGCCTAATCCCGCTAGTCCAAGACAGAGCCTGTCCATGAACTCCATGGACATCCTCGTTACCATCAAGAGTTGCAAGAGGCATATCTTCGTCATATTGGACAGGTTTTTAAAGTACGCTACGTTAATCCCTATGTAGAGACGGCTAAAATTGAACATCTAATTCAACTCTTCGTGGATAACTGGTTGTGTGACTTTCGGTTGCCAAAGTCCATAGCGAGTGACAGAGATGTCTACTTCACTACTGAGATATGGAAGCAGACGGCCAGCAGATGGGTTGCCAACTGCAGATAACTTCAAGGCAGTCATCCTGAATCCAACGGCCAGGCGGAGCAGATGAACCGTGTGGTCCAGCACTTGTTACAACACCACATCAGCCTGTACAATAACGTTGTACACAATACCGTCGATATGTCTTCCCAACCAGCTACATCTTGGTTGGAAGGCTAGATCTGCTCTTGATTGACCTCCTCCTACCCAAAAATCAGCTAATAGCAGCACCTGACAGCATTAAATTTGCTGTCCAGTACGACAAAATACTGCAGGAGGCTGTTGAGCAGATTCAGAAATATCAAGATGCAATGATTGCATCTGAGAACAAGCACAGAAGGCCATCTAACTTTCAGGTGTGGGGTAGAGTTTGGGTGAAGTCATCAGAATTGAGACAGGAGTTGGGCATCTTGAGGAAGTTAAGGCCGCAGTACTTTGGGCCTTGGGAAGTTCTGCATATTGTGGGGAACGATCCTGATGGTCTCTCCTATGTCAGTCGTATCCCAGGACATCTACACACCTATCCTGTATTCCACGACTCCAAACTTGCACTATTTGCTGTGCCAGATCAGTTTCCTTCAAGACAATCTATGCTTCCCCCAACCATGGATGGACACGTGGACATCGACGAGATTGTGGAACACAGAGATGTGCCTGTTCCGAAGCCTGCCGGTCAAGGAAGACCCGCAAAACCTCAACGGGAATACCAGGTCAGATTAAGGCAGGACACCCATCACATCGCAGCATCACACCGATCCTAAGGAAGATCGAAGGTTCACGAAGGAGGACTTGATGAAGACTGCACCTCAAGCGTGTCCTTCTACAACAAGACACTTCTCAAAGAGAGAGCAAAAGTTCAGTAGGAGCATCTCAGAGGACTATCAAAGCTATGGAGGAGGGAGAGCAGGGCCCTAATGCCGCGATATTGCCAAATGTGACCCCACCGAAGTGGAAGGCTGGCCAAAGTCCCCTGAAGGCCTCATTTCGTCAATTCTGCCTTGGGCCCCCCCACGCGATAGAGTTGCAAAACTCAGTGTGGGGCAGTTGAAGACAGTCCAGGGCCAGGCTGTGTGACCAAGACCTTCTGGGTTCAATGAGCCTCTCTGGCCTCGATGTAGCAACAGGTCTTTCGGCCAATGACGGAGCAGTGTGCAGCAAAGGCCACGTGAAGCAGTTGGGGGAGTTAACCGCTTGGGCCCCAGGGCACATTCTGGAACGGCCCGGGGCGCAGATACTAGGCGCAGCCTGGAAGCTTCTGAGGACCAGGCACACACGCCCAGGCAGGGTCCACGCGGCACACTTTCCATAAAGGAAACTGTTGGGCACCAGTCCAGACACATTCTGGCTAATGCATACTGCGTGAGCCCGGCTGGAACGCTGAGGGAAACATCCTGGCCAGAGCTGAGCGCGCATGGGCGCTGGTGTCGAGCGCTGCTGGAGGCAGCACAGCACGTCGGCCATAGTTGGGCCGCACAAGCTTTAGAAGCCGGTGGGGTTGGTCGTGGTCCTTGGGCGAAGAGGGGAGCCTGTGAGGGGACAGACGGGATGATCCAAGGGAGAGAGGAGGGCGTACCTGGTGTGTCATGGACGCCCACATGGGCGACATCTTCATGTGCATCAGTCCGCTGCTGAAGTTCTTCTGGTTGCATCATTGTGGTGTACACTAGGATAGGTGTCGTGAGTCTGAGGTTGGTGCCAGGAGCCATGTGGGAGAGTGACGTTGGATACTTCATTGGTGGAGGCGAGTCAGGGGCTGACATTGACAATTGAGTTCATTGATTTGCTCTTATTTGGTGTGAACTTGGTGCATTCTGCTTTCTGCGCGGCACACGACTATCTGGTGGTTTCAAATTTCAATGTGATGATGCATTTGGATTTTTGTCATCACTCTCGCTCATTTTCCTTGCAGTATGGGAGAACATCATATAGAAAGTTCAACCGAGCAAGCACACAAGTACAACAGACTCAAGTCCCAACCATCTTCTGAAGACAGATGGATCGGCAAAAAGGAACTGATGATGACAAGTCATAGCAGGAAAAAGACAAGTCCTCTGAGATGCTTCTGGTTTAGTTGCTGGGAAAAAGACAAGTCGTAGCGGATAAGAGTGAAAACCAGCACAGCCGAAATCTACAATGGAACTGAAAATCTAGATGACAGGAACGCAACCGAGGTAAAAACCAGCACAGCCGAGTCTTAAGGCCATATCCTCTGGTCAAGCCAAAGCTTAGGGTCAAACGGCATTCGAAGAGTGTCCAGACAGGCTCTGAAAAATCCTTAAGGTTGGCAGGCATGTGGTCAAATGTAAAAACAAGGCACCCAGGGCTCCAGAGGTCAACTCAGAACCCTAGGAAAATCAACAGTAAGGCCCCAATAGGAGCAGGAGGTCAAGGGTCAAAGAAGTTTCCAAAAGCCAATGATAACCACAAAGCACACACATCCGAAAGCTTAAAATCTGTTTCCGGAAGCATCTGTGGCCCGCAGAGCCGAGGCATACACTGATCGCGATTAAACCTGGGCTGCACAGGATCCAATAATCTCGGCCGTTTGAGGAGGCAACTGGAGCAGGCCCAGCCGAGTCCACATTACAAAAGACTGGCCTCTCTCAGCTCAGTCAGTGATTTGCTTGCAATGCTGGAGGCTGGAGCACTGCTTGAGTGCTAGTGCTGGAGGAAGGCAGACAGGAGAGAGACAAGGAGTAAAAGTGAGAGCAGCCATACCTAGACTAGAATGTGTGCTGTCACCATAATATGTGTGTGTGTGTGTGTGTGTGTGTGTGTGTGTGTGTGTGTGCTGTCACCATAGTGTGTGTGTG